GCACTTCCGGCCTTAGCGGTCTTTAAGTACGCGGCCCTTGAGGATTGTTGAGGCTGCGTATTTAAGGCTGCAGACCCTGAATTGGGATACAGCCATGTCTTGAAGTTCTCCAGAGATTCCTGCTAATGAACTAATCATGTGATTCAGGAGTGTTGACCCAGGGTGAGATCTAAAACCTGCAGGACACCGGCCCTCGAGGCCTGGAGTTCGACACCCCTGATTTACGCCTTTGATTGAGGACCAGCTCTCGAGCGCCCCCTGCAGCGACACCAGGTGAACTGCAGTTGATGTTTCTCAAATTCGCTCTGATTAGAGTTCACTGACACGCTGGTTTATTTAAAAAGCCTGTTATTGTGATTTTGAATGATTTCATTATGAGACACAGACTTAACATATTTTAATTACAATTGTAAATCTCATTGATTGTTAACTAATCCTGAGACTAATGCAGACAGCTGTCTGTGTTTGTGTTTTATGTATGAGCGTGCACTGACGCTTCAGATTCCATTGATTTTTGGGACCAGACTGCTGGCTCTCTTCGATTTTGAGGATGAACATGTAGGGTCCGTCATCCCAGCTCTGAGCCACCGCATCGAAACCAAGATTCCCAGCCTGAGCAACAGCGGAGAGAGAGCAGCTTTTACATCAATTTAAAGAAGCCTCCATCAGGATGTCCTGGGATCACAAGATAATCAGGAAGAGCAGCTGACCTGTTTTTGATCTTTGTCGGTTTCGTTCGTCTTTGCTGACTGGGAGACAAAGAAGAACAACGTCTGTTAAACTGACTCAAACACTCGAGAAGAAAAAAAATCTATGGATTTAAAATAACCAGAGTAACTTTAATCAGTGACGTGACCAATAACAAAGTCCGTCCACATCTGTTCTCCTACACTATTCGACTGTTACGCTTTGAAAAAATATCTTCAAATCTCACATGACTCACACAGAGCTCTTTTAATATTGACAGATCATATAAGTGGCACACCTGCTCTAACAGAGGTGCTTCTATTGTTGCTAATGACAGCTGTGCTGTTTACACTGTGAAAAACAAAAATATCTGACATTCAAAACAGAAAATGTAACGAAATGTACTTTAAAAAGTGCCTGAACAAAATTCTATCACTTAAAATATGACAAAGCAAATACTGTAAAAACACCGCAGTGACTTCGTCCCATGAAGCGTTTCGGAATTTGGTCCAAAAAATGCAAAACATTGACATCATTTCCTGTTCTTAACTGAAGACAACAGATAAGCAAACACACAAACATCACAAAGCTTTGTTTGCTGCCACAGCAGAGAAAGTAAAGACCTTTTCAGCTGCTCCCACAATTATTTAACTTTATTATCAACATAATTTCCTTAAAGGTTAAGGAGCCGGGCAGAGACACAAGCCCAGGCTCAGAGGGGCACAAACGAGTGTAGATCTCACACTGATCCTAGATGAGGAACAGGAGCGTGGGGTTAGAAAGGGCGTGAGGTAGGGTGCACAATCTGTGACAAACCAAATGTGTGGAGGGTGAAGCTGAGAGCAGCAGCTGTGGACAGAGCTTCTCTCAGCTTCTGCTGTTCCTTATTTTACATATTAACGCCCCTGAAATTCAACTGTTGGTCTGACACTGTGTATTTATTCAGGCATGCAATTACATTTTCTGCATGCTCCCTGAATGTGCATTCATATCTCTGTGGGGACCAAAATCCTTGTCCCCACAAGATATGAATAGCCAACGCGCGTGTGTGTGCATGATGTGCTCACCTGTGGCTTTGGAGCCTCTCTCTTTCGTTTCCCTGAAGTGTTTCCTGTGCTTGGCTGAAACACAAACAGCAGCTTAAACCAACCGGACAAACCAGAAAGGTGACCATGATGATTCTTATCAGACATGCAGAGCATGTAAAACAGTCTGAGACACACCTCAAAGGGTCAAACTGGGAGTACAGTCAGTACACAGAGCTGCAGCTAGCTGCAGAGACAAAGGGCCGTAGTGCTTCAGGTGTTTGTGGGTGATTGTGACGAACAGAATGAAAAAGCTCACCTGTGCCTGCTGCAGTGGTTTCAGCGGATGTATCGGCTCGGATTGGTTCAGGTTGAACTGAGTCATAAAACAAACACGCCCGTGTTAGCGTTCAATCACCACACAGACACTTCATTCAGTGTTTGCAGTGTGTATGCGTGGGTGTGTTCACCTTGGGATTCTGATTGTCACAGTGGATTGTTTCATACTTGTGTGAAGAATAGAACCCAGTTCCTCCTTCTCTCTCCACGCTCTGCGACACGAAGTACTCCTCCGCCAGCTTTTTCTGCAGAGGTCACACATGTGATCATGTGACATGTTGGATCCTCAGACTAGACTCAGTGTTGTCACACTTATAGCAGTCCGAGGATTAAAAAAACAACTAAAACTGTGATTTTTGTTCATTGCATTTCAGTGGGAGAGCAAATAGATGACAGAAAACACAAAATGAACCGTGAAAACTGAATCCTGATTATTTGGGAACGCTGCTGTGTGGAGTGTAAACAGAAAGAGGACAGACGCAGCGAGGCCCAAAGGTTCGGGGTAGGGACACCATTTTTGTAGTCTTTACCTGCAGACCATCAGATTAAACGTATATGTGGGGTGTGTGTGTCAACTCAAGCATATCAACACTTCCTGTTGGAGAAGTGCTGCATCAACTCGTCTGCAGCAGAGCCAAAGTTTTACTGCCCTTCAAAAAAAGCACTGTGCTTGTATTTTAAAATAATGCAAATTAACTAATAGAATATCTTCTTTCACTTTAAGGCTACGTCCACACGTACACGGGCATTTTTGAAAACGGAGATTTTCCATTTTCGTTTTAAAAAATAATCCCGTCCACACGTAAAGGCAGAAATGAAGGAAAACGCTGCTAGGAACATGCCAAAGCAGCAGGTGGCGATATATTCCTAACCGTGCAGAAATGTTGGCCAATCAGAAGCCTAGAAGCCTCGGTGGGAAAAAGTAAACAAAGCTGGCGCATAGAAGCAGAACCGAGTTGTATGTGTGGAAGGACAGTAACTGTGTGTGTATATGTAAGCATTTAAACACTGCAGAGACAATTAACAGTAACAGTATTGTAGAAATTCATTTCACCGAAACAATAACGTGGCGCACACTGTGACGTCAAAAAAGGCGCTTTTCTCCGTTTTTCTCATCCACACGTAAATGCAAAAACGGAGTTTTCAAAAATATCCACCCTGGCCGGAGTTTTTAAAAATCTCCGTTTTCAGTGACCAAAAACGCCGTTTACGTGTGGACGAAAGGTGCAAACACATAGAAAAATCTGCGTTTTTAAAAATACCCGGGTACGTGTGGACGTAGCCTAAGTCAGAATGTTATGACATCCTGGAAATAAATATGGTCTTATGCACCCCATGCCCACCTTTAGATTCAGCCCTGCTTCTTGCAGGTATCACGGCCGTAGACAGTTTATCATATCAGACTAAGTTTACAGCTCATCTGCATATTTTAATGCAACTTCTTTTTCTCTGTGTGGGTGAAGCATCTACAGAGTTCTCCTTCCTTCACGCTGAAGCTTGTGGATCAGGTGCTTTGCTTTAAAGGTGACTACAGGAACAAGCACCGCTCGCTTGGACCACCTCTGCTTCCTCGCTGTGTGTCTGTGTGTGTGGACAGACTCCACATTAACGTGCTTGCTCATAGGAGGTCATATAATTGTTGGGTTTTCTCTGTACATATTACTGTAGGGTCGACCTTAAAATATAAAGCGCCTTGAGGCGACTGTTGTTGTGATTTGGTGCTGTATGAATAAAACTGAATTGAATTAAACGATGACAACATCATCCTCACTGCTGATGTTGTGTTATCAGTGTTGCTGTTAAGAAACTGGAGCCTGTGTGGTCATAAATAAAGCACTAATGCAAAAATGTGCATTGAAGTCAAGTTATACATCACCTCCTTACTGATCCTCTCCCATTATTTTATTATTCGATGAATAATGGTTGGAGTTAATACGTCTGTTAAACCCTTAAAGCTGAACGTCTGCACTTCACAGACTGTCTGACTCGGGCTAGTGCACAAAGGCAAAACTGTCCACAAACTTCCAACCCTAACTGTTAATCAGTAACGATGTTCTTATTTGGACTCTGTGTTTTTGAGCGTCTGTGTGCGACAAAGTTAAAGGTTAAAAAAATACTCCGATCATCTGTAGAAGTTTACAGAAGTCCAAAACATGGAAGTAGCGAATGCTCCAAATAAGCAGTTTCCAGAGAAGAAAGCAGAGCGTCTTACGTCCAGGTTGAAGACTTCGTTGTTGCAGCGCGAGCTCCTCAGATACCAGGAAACGTCCAGGCTCGGGTGAGACATGGTGCAGTCTTTTGATACAACTGCACACACAAACAAACCAAATTAACTCACTTCTAGGCCACGATGCTGCTCCACTTGTTATTATCTTCATTTCACTTCATCATTTTAACCTGACTGTTTCTGAACCAATGCTCAAAGTCAGCTTTCTTCTGATTGGCTATCCTTCATTAACAAAACGTTTGAAGAGTGGGTGGGCGGAGCTTCTGTCCTCTCAGACAGACAGACAGGTAAACCTGAAAGTGTCTGCCTACATTTAATATGAACATATGATATGTTCTGTAAAATAAAGTTTAATGAGTCCACTTTAGTTAAGCTTTTTGTTTCAGAATGTGAGACATTACAGTTTCTGCTTCTGCCTGCACAGCAAACATAAACTGGGCTTTTTGGACAAACCCAAACGTTATTATCCAACTAAAATAAAGATTTAACAAAGAAGAAACATCTGCTTACATTTGAGACTGATAAAGCTGTTATTGAACAGAGTTTTACTGTAGAAGAAGTACGTCTGGTCCTTCAGGACATCCTGAAACAAACAAAGAAAATCCATTTTTATTCTCTGACAGTTAATAAAGTCACAGATAGGGCTGCCACAAACGATTATTCTGATAGTCGACTAATCAGATCATCATCCATCGGACGTACAACGTACAGCTTATTGCACCAGCAGCATCTGCTCTTATATAACTATCATTAGCTTATAGCTTTAAGTGTTTAAGGTGCTAACTAAAAATAAAGACAAGATGACAGTTTATTAAACTTTTAATGACATTTGCAGATTGCCTCGGTGGAGTTTAATAAATTTGTCCGTCTGCTCCTTACTATCTAAAATCTAACAGGACACTGGAGTAAACTCTCGACCGTCTCACACTTCTGTTTAATCAGTTTTCTGTTTGACGTTTGTTCAGCTGTGTGAAAATGATAACTTTAATCTCAGCCAAACAGATTTTTCAGTAAAACAAAGCCAAACAATAATATTTTTAAGTTATCTAAGTGACTTATATATCATGTTTAACCTGAGTAGGCACAGATCTGAAAACCATGTGCCGGGAGGTCGCTGTTCTCGCCGGCTCTAGTGAGGCTTGAACCCCAGCTAGCTACGAGCTGGTGGTAACAGACGTCTCCGTCTGTTCGTGGACATTGTCGTGTTTGTCGGGGAGAAAACTTACAAGCTTACAGTACAGCACTACAGAGTCACACTGCTAGTGATTGATGTAGCGATTCTGTACTGTACAGGAGAGACGGCACGGAGGAGATCGACAACGGTCTACAGCTGATCAGGACGCACAACACAATGTGCTTTAAAAAAAATAAAAATAAAGCATGCAAAACTGCACTAAAATAGGTGAACTGCGTTCTAGTGAGCGACTGCTGTAACTGTGCAGATAAGTCACAACATACCCTTCATAAATACTAATATGTAGAGACACCGACCAGCAATCATTCATTTTTATATTCTGTGGCTTTAAACACTTTGATCACTTGGTCAGGACCAGATATGTGTCATTATGTTGTGATGTGAAAAACCTCACAGCTAACACAAGGTGGGCTTTGTTTTTACGTGACTTGTAAAATGTGTTGAATGGTCACATTTGCTGTGAGACTTGAATCTAAGTTTTTAATTATTATCTTTACTCATCTCCTGGGAGACCGAAGCCTGTAACCTGCAGGTTTATTGTTTGTAAGCAGTCCCAGTCCGATATTTCCAGCTGCCCACACAAACACAGTGACCTCGATCCAGCCGTGGTCCCTCCCTAAAGTCGATAAATTCAGGGTTTTTCTGCATACAAGTTCCACCAAAGGAAAATCACCAGGACTGCAGCATTAAAGGAAATGTCAGCCCCTGAGCTGGGAGATGCCTGTTATCGTGTTACTCTGTGTTAACCGATGATCCTCGCTTTGGCAGTTGATAACAACATCAGTGGTTCATGTTCCTGTTTTTGGAAAGGTGGCTTAGTGTTCGGGAACTTTGTGTATTTAATTCCACACCACTGCTGGTTGTGCAGATTAAAAACAGTGGTACAGTGTCAAGGCTCGCAAGATTTCTAAATCCCTGGCAGCCCTTCGGGCCGGCACTCTGCAGGTTTTGGTAAAAATAAATTTAAGTAGCCCGAATAAAAAAAGAGGGCAATTTTTTATGTTTTGTTTCCCGTTTTGTTTCTGTTACAATATTATACATTAAAGTATAATATTGTAACAGAAACAAAAATTAATCAAAAAATTGTTACAATACAAATCACAACAACTGTATAAAAATTACAATCATCAACTCAAATACTTGGTTCTGATTGAACAGAAATTTCTATGAACTTGTAAGAACTGTGTCAGATCCTGAATGTGACATTTCCACTGGAGTCACTGGTGAGAGGCAAGTGGAACCAACATCTAGGACATTTACTTTTTGAAGTTTGCAAAGACTGCTAAATTTGGCCAGTGGTAGTTCACTCTTTGCTACAGCACGCTGCTCTAAACAGCTTTTTCAAGAGTTCTTGTGCTTGGTTCATTTTTAGTATGTTTTTTGCAGTTGCTGTTTGTTCTGGGAAAGATGCTGCAGACTGAGCAATAATGCATTTCTTGCATTTCTCATGGGTTCTGATGGGGTCTTTCTTAAAATGACTGGCCCCAGTAACAAAGGCGCTTGTCGACTCACAACACACCTGGCAGAACATCATGTTATTTAGCTCGTCAAGTTCCAGCCACAGAAATTCTTTTGTCCATGAAACCATAAAGCTGCACTTTCTTTTGCCTCATAGTCTGATTTGTCATAACTTTTCCGTTTTGTGGTAAGCTTTTCTTTGGCTGCCCTTCTTCACCCTGACCTGTCTTATTTGGCTCAGCAGAACTAAAATACCGGATTAAATCCTGCTGCTTTTACACACACACACTCACATAATGCTCAGCGATTCTCTGCGCGATCAACCTGTCACGTTTAAGCTGCAGGAGATTTCACTTGACATGTCTGAATAGTAAGCTAATGATTGATAAGACGATGTCAGAGGAATTGGTGATAGATAGATTTTGGTAGCCTGACTGGAAAAATCGGCGGGCTAGTGATTTTGCGAGCCCTGACAGTGTTGTCTTTGTGCATCAGCTTTGATATTAACCCGCAGCATTAATGAGCCTGGTTTATCATTAACCTTCATACTGTAAGTCTGGTTTTCCAGTGCACAGTCACAGCTTTACAGTCTTCTGCAGACTAATGCATGTAACAAACACTGGCTGTGCTTACAGCCCAACCAATGCAGGACTTCTACCCACAGCGATTAAAAATCTGATCAATCAGCAGATATTTTTCCTTTAAGACACACAAAACTTTGTCTCCTCATACATGTCCTGCATGTCTCATACTTCTCTGTCACCTCCTCATGCAGTTCTCCACAGCTCCACAGACTCAAACATCACATGTGTGGAGCTGTTTCTCAGCATGAAGCCATACTGCTGCTCACTGATCATCACCTCTCTTTAACCTGCTCACGACTCTTTCCCAAACTTTTTATTGTTTTGGCTCATCAGCTGCATTCCACTGTAGTTACTGCAGCTCTGTACATCACGCTTGTCCTTGAAAAGTACCAGCACCGCTTCTGCATTGCTCAGGCATCTTCTCATCCGACAGGACTGTGTTGAACAGTCCGGTTAAAAAGCCTGCTGACCTCCACATGTGTCATCTGAAGCGTCCACTTACAGTCTTCAAAGCTGCCGTCACTTTCTTTCTTACTAATCCTCTTCCTGAGTCACCAACTGTCCTCCGGTCTCTCTTCATTCACGATAACTCAAAGTACTCCTTCTGTCCTCTCAGCAGACTCTTTAAACGAGGCTTTTTATCAGAGAGGACCACAAACACACACGTTAAATCAGATTTACCGGCATCAGACGAGCGGCTGGTATCGGCCTGTTCCACATATACGCGAGTAACTGGTGATTTTATTGATATCAAACGTCTTTATGGCGCAGCTGGTATCGTTCGTGTTGAGTAACGCGCCACTTGAATACTTTCACTTTAGCTAACGTTAGCCGTTAGCGGCGTAACGATTATGGCGCAGGGCAAACAGAGCGGTATTTTAGCGGCTGCTTCGCCACTGAAACACTTTTTATCTGCTCAAAGCTCCTCTCCTCTCCAACCCGTTCATCACAGAACCTAAACGAACCATCACAGAATCACAGCGGGGGGTACGAGCAGGAAACTCACGCTATTGATGTCCAGGTCCCACTTCCCCGGTTCCGACACGGCCGCCACCGGCCAGCTCACTTCCGCCAGCATCAGCAGGACCAGAGCCCAGCACCGGAGTCCCGGACCGGTCCGACCCGGACCCGTGAAGCTCGCCATTTGAGCCAACAGGAAGACGAGACCAGCAACAGCAGCAAAGCCTCCACGACAACTCACGACAAGCTCCTGAACACTTCCTGCTTCCGGGTGACGTACACGTAGCGCAATGACTCTTCAGGGGAGACGTAATAAAATAAAATAAAATAAAATAAAATAAAATAAAATAAAATACATTTGAATTGTTTCTTTTCAAGAACGCGTTGTTGTTTAGGACAGGGAGAGATCTTTTTTTTTTACAGAACATTATTTATGAAATCGTAATAAAATAAATTAATTAAAAGTTAGAAATGAAGAGAAATGACTACAAGAGAACGTAAAACATCCAAACTAACTGGTAGCGACGACCACTACAGGGCAGGCTCAGGCATTGTTGTTGTTGTTGTTGTTGTTGTTTTACACGTGCAGTTCTTCACTTTCACCACTGGAGGGCAGTGAAAACTCTTTCATTACAGTTTTGTTAAACAGCCGATTGGTTCATTTTCCTTACAGACACTGGATTGCCCAATCAGATCTCTATAATTCGCTGTGTGCTCTGCAACTTGTAGACAAAAGTTTGGTGTGGAAAAAGTTGTGAGAAGGTGGAGCTGAAAGCTAAGAGCAAACAATACAAAGAAAAATTGATGCAGTAAAATGTGTCAAATTAACGACACGTTAGCTGTCGGTGCTGCTGCACCCTGAACAGTAGTACCAACAACAACCAGTAACTGATGGCAACCAGGCCTCTCAGTGACAAGAGGCTGGAGCTACACTGGCTCTGAAGAAGCGAGAAACATCCGGTTATACCGCATGAAGAAATCATTTATGCGAGGTTTACACTTCATGTTATCACCGCCAAAGGATACAGACATAGTTTTAAAACGCACAATCATAAAAATGAAGAAAATAAATGTGATAAAACATAATCAATTTATTAATTAAACAGAAAATACAATTAAATAAATAAAATGCTATTTTCTGCTAAACTTCCTCCTTAAAAACCACAAACTTAGATAAAATAAAACAAATGCAATCAACTATCAACAATACAATAATATAAAATAAATATTTATAAAATACAAACACAAAGTAAAATAATATAAAATAATTGAATTATAAATGCATTAAAAATTAATAACTAAAGTTAAATGAAAAGAACAAAAATAAATTCATCATAAAACCTTATAAAATACATAAACAGCAGAGGATTCATCTAAAGAACTGCAGAATAATTCAGTGCAATTTATTTCAATCCACACTTCTCTGCTTCAGAGTAAATAACGATAGTGATGCCTTTAATAATGTCTCTGTAAACATGTGTTTATGAGGAAGTCTTTGTCACGATGTCAGCTGTAGTAACATCAGTAATGATGTGATCTCTGGAGGGGAGAGGGAGGGGAAACAGGAGGACAAAGGAGGGGGGAACAAGCAAGCTCTAGTGCCTCTTCACTTCACTGTGCAATTACCTTTTGTGCAATACTTTTGTTAATAGTCAACGGTGCAATAGACTTCCATACTTTAAATGTGCAATTTCACTTGTATTTTTATTTTTATTCCTATTTATTCTATTTATCCCCTTTGTATATTTTATTTATACATGTCTCTGTATTTATATATGTGTATATATATAATATTCTGTAACTCTGTAACTTCTGTCGGTGCTGCGAATTTCCCAGAGGAACCCACCCGAGGGATTAATAAAGTTTTATCTTATCTTATCTTCTTATCTTATCTCTTATCTTCAGTTCTCGAAGCTGAGACACAAGCTGAGCTCCACAGAGAGACTGGAGCTGTCAGAGGAGGCGTTTAAAGGTGGGAGACGTAAAACAGGTCAGCCAGCTCTTTAACAGACACACCCACTGAAACAGGAAACATGGAACATATCTGAAATATTTCTGGCAGTAATCAGCTGATGGATCAGTGGCTAGAATTTTCCGTTTACATTCCACCTTGTCCAACATTATCTTTTCCTGAAATCTGAAAAGTTCCAGGTCTGAAGTCTGTGAGTCAAAAGAAACGCAGACAACATTTACCAGGTTATCAGAGGATCATAAACCACCCACATCATTTCACATCATGTCGAATATAAAAACATTAACGTGTTCATCTGCCCCGGGCAGGAAAGGCTGACCATGTCCACAGCAACACTCAGGTAAGCTGTGGACTTAAACGATGCTCAGTTGGACCCAAAGTGTGTCAGGATAACATCCCCCACACCATCACTCCACCAGCAGCCTGACGTGCGTTTACAGACAGGCTGAATCCACGCTTCCACACTCCGATCGTCGAAACTCATCAGAACAGCTAATATGAGGTGGATCTCCTCTGTTGGTGATGAGTCATTTGACCTGTGGGCGCACCACGTATTTGAACTCTAGAGGGCGCTAGGATCTGGCGGCCTGCCCGTGCATATGTGCGTGTGTTTGGGGAGGGGTTGATGACGCATTGAAAAAGAACGCTGTCAGTGGGCTCGCCCTGCAGTTCCTCCGTGTCCGTGTTCCCCGCAGTCCGTGATCGTCTCTGTCGCCGGCTCCGCTGT